AAAGAGGAAATATTTTATGTTTTAATTTTCTACTGAGATTTATTTCTCAAAATTTAAATCAAGTTTTTTATGAATTGTATACTTCTAAATATCTTAACTGGGCTTGTTAGAGAAAATATGTGATAAACTTCTTTTGCAGAACAAAAGCCTTGTTAATTTCATTTATTATGTAAATTTAGAGATCTGGAATTGAGTTTGCTTGAAGTAAAACAGCATAGTTTTCATTCCATTGCCTGTTTTGCATTGAGGCACTAAACTAAGTTGAATAGTCTGTTTAATTTAGGGTATTAGATTCATTCCCCTTAATGTGTAACTCCCATTTTCATTTTTCCAAAGAAAATTAAATGCTAAGGAATTTTCACTTGATGAAAACATAGGAATTACCAAAACTGAACCAAGAAGACATAAAAATTCTGAACAATCCAATAACAAGGAATGAAATTGAAGTAATAAAAAGCTTATGAACTAAGAAAAGCCCAAGACCAGATGGTCCTGGATTCACTGCTGAACTTACAAGACCTTCAAGAAGGTTATAACACTAATACTCTTCAGACTCTTTAATGAAACTGAAACTCATTCCTAAAAGCCAGCATCACTCTGATCCCCAAACCAGATAAAGACCCAACTGAAAAAGAAAACTGCAGGCCAGTCTCCTTAATGATCAAAGATGCAAAAATCCCCAGTCATATATTGGCAAGTAGAATGCAACCAGTCATCAAAAGGATGATTCATTCAATTAGGTTTTATCCCAGGGATGCAAAGATGGTTCAATAAATGCAAATCAGTAGATATAATGAGTCACAAAAATCACATGATCATATCAATAGATGCAACAAAGGCTTTTGACAAAATCCAACATCTGTTCGTGTTAAAAACCCAGAAGGAAACAGGAATAGAAGGACCTGATAAAAGCCACTTATGACAAACTAGGAGCCGAAAACATTCCCTCTAAAATTCAAGAACAAGACAAGGTTGTCCACTGTCACCATCCTGTTCAATACAGTACGCAAATCAAGCCAGAGCAATCAAGCAAGAGAAAAAGATAAAAGGGATATGTACAGGAAAGGGAGGAGTCAAATTATTATTTGTAGACATGATCCTTTACATAGAAGACCCAAAAAGTTCCACCAAAAGACTCCTAGAATTAATAGCAAATTCTGTAGTGTGGCAGGAATCAAAACCAACACACAAAAATCAAGTGTTCCTGTACAACAATTATAAACTCGCCAAGAAATAGGAAATTGATTCCATTCACAACGGCATCAAGAAAATTTAAATATTTAGTAATTAACCAAGGAAGTGAAAGCCCTTTACAGGAAAAACTATACAGTACTCTAGAAAAGGACATCAAAGAGGACATCAGAAAATAGAAAGGTATCCCCTGTTCCTCAATAGGCAGAACCAATATTGTCAAAATGCTCATATTTCCAAAACCAATACACAGATTTAATGCAATCCCAATCAAGATACCAATAGCATTCCTCACAGAACTAGAGAAAACAATCCTAAAATTCATATGGAACAAGAAAAAAGTCCAGAATAGCAAAAGCAATCCTGGGCGACAAGAGCAAAGCAGAAGGCATCACAGTACCTGACTTCAGTTAATACTACAAAGCTATGATGATAAAAACAGAATGGCATTGGCATAAAACCTGATGCGTGGATCAGTGGGACAGAATAGAGGACACAGAAACAACCCCAGACACATTCAGCCACCGAATCTTTGACAGAGGCCAAAAGCATACGCTGGACAAAGGATAGACTGTAGCAAATGCTGCTGGGAACAGTGACTGTGCACATGCAGAGCCTTGAAGCTAGGCCCGTATCTCTCACCATGTACTAAACTGAAATCAGAAGGGATCAAAATGGATCAAAGATCTAAATGTTAAAGCAGAAGTGCTTAACCTTTTGAAGTCATAGGCGTAGGCAAGGACTTTCTGAATGGAACTCCAATTTCACAAGAAATAACAGCAAGAATCAGATGAGATTATATCAGATTAGAAAGCTTCTGCACAGCAAAAGAAAGAGCCAACAAAGCGAAGAAATAGCCCACAAAATGGGAAAACAATTTTGCCATTAGCTTCAGTGACTCGGGGCTGGAGGATCCCTTGACCCTTCGCGTTCAAAACCAGCCCGGGCAATGTAGCAAGACCCCAACCCTGCCAGAAAAGAATTTTTTAGATCTATTGTGATGGCTAATGTTTCCCAGCATTCAGGACAGGTTGTGCTTTTAATGATTTTACTGTTGCTTGATCAATCCGCACCTCCAGCATGCAATGTTACTCCCGGCACCTTGCCCTCCTCACGCTGCCTGCCCCCCTCCACCTCCCTGTTGCTTCACGGTGGTGTCAGAGAGTCAGTGTTCTTTTTGTCTCCCCGTCTCCCTGCAGTCTTAATAAAAGGTCTGAAACAGTTACATGAGAGCCAGAAAAACCACCCAGCGCTGCTGGAGAATAAGGCAGGCCCCGGAGTTGCCAACAGCAATTCCAGCTCCGGTGTTCAGCACGTTCAGATCCGAGTGGCCCGCTTGGAAGAGAGCACAGCCGTGCCCCCCAGCCCCATGGCCGCGTTGCAGATCCCAGTCCAGATCACCCACGTCTGTAAGTGTGGGGCTCGGGTGACAGCTCTGACCCTTTCGTCTGCTAGAGCCGAGCGCAGGAGTAAAGTTCACCTCAGTATTTGCAAAGGATGAACATGTGCTAGGAAGGACTTACAGCCCTGGCCACCGTAACCATTCTGAAACATCTTTCCCAGTTTTACAATTAAGGATGGAGTGAAAATCATTCAGTAGAAATTAAGATTAATGATTCATTGCAAACTGCCTGAAAATAGTCGGTGGACCAAAGAAACCATTGACAAGGTGGCACATTATTTAATGAAATTTCAGCAGAAGACACAGATTGGGGATGGATTTGTGGCAGTACAGTAAGTCCCCGACTTACGAACATTCGAGTTGCAGACTTTCACAGATGTACTACTGTATGACTCACTTTGGCGCCTTACGAACGAATCCGACTTACAAACAGTTCTCCAGGAATAGAACTCGTTCATGAGCTGGGGACTTACTGTATATAGAGATGTGGGTTTCATATCCCCTGTTGTCCTCAGCCTCTGACAGTTTGGCTTTTAATAAGATTATGGGAGCAGTTGCCACAGGGAGGGGCTCTTCACTCTCAGCCAAGTTGGCCTCTGCCCATCATCGTTGGATGGCAGTGGCAGAAGGAATGGGAGCAGCACTCTGTGAGCCAGCGGCACTCGCTTGGGAGAGGGTCTACAGTGCTCCTGGCGTGGAGGAGCCGTTGCCCACAGGGCACCAGGCACTGTTCTCAGCTGAGCAGGTGCTGACATCCTCAGAGATGGATCTTTGCAGAGCCGCCTTTCACGTTGCAGGCTGCTCGAGGTCCCTAACCTCACCCACACAATGCCCATGGTGTTTCCAGGGGTCACAACACACTCCCAGAGCACCCTGTGCCCCGGTTTAGACTACTGGGTGGCTGCTCACCCTAGGGAGGTCTGGGCTCGAGCTGAGTTGGGAAATCAGCACCCAGCAAATAAATAGACAAATGACCGTAGAGATATTTAAACTAATCATAGTTCTTCAAGCCCTACTTTGGGTTTGGCTATTTGCTCTATCCATCTTCCAGTGTAATAAAGCATGAAGAATTTGCTTCCCTTGGCCCCTCTTGGTTTGTTTTTGTTTTCTAATAGTTGAGAATTACAGAGCAACTGAAGGTATGGTCCAGATAAATATGTGAGCTGCTGTGAGCTGTAAATTGATTGTGTGTGGAAGCCTTAGTTTCCCCGGGGTTGACAGTACCTGTTGGGCAGCAACATCCTAAAAGTGGTACCCCACATTCATTCATACCGTCGTTTTCAAATGGACAAATGTGTGAAACAATTTCTCCCAGAAAGACGTGTGAGTACAGTAAAGAGTTTGGTAACCCACCCGTTATTCTTAGCGTTCTGACCAAGAGCTTACTTCCTCTTTTACGCTAGAGGCAGGGCTGCACAAACTGACCTGTGGCCGAAAACACCCATGGGTCACTCGTGTTCTCACCATTTCCAGCCCTGAGTGACCCTGGGCAGACAGTGGTCAGGCTGGGTCTTGGTGGACACCTCTGAAGGGTGTACTGTCTGTTCTCTGCAGTGCTTTCAGTCCCCTGAACATGGGCTTCTGAAATCCTAGCTTCTTAACGTTTGTTTTTAAAGCACTGTTGATCACCAGAACAGCTAGGTGAGGGAGTTGCAAGAGGTGCAGTCTGAACGTGAGTTGGCCCAGGTTTCCATTTCCAGGAAGCAGTGTCTTGAGAGGTAGGACCTGGTGTAGCATCATAGCATCACCACTCCCCATATCTGTGTTGTTTACCAGAGTCAAGAAGAATGCTTTGCCAGTTTCCTTCCTCTTTATTTCTTAACAACTGAAGGCACTGTTACACATAGTACAGGTTGATAAACCTTTTCTATAAAGGCCCCAATAGCATCTTAGACATTGAGAGCTTTATGGTATCTTCCACAGGTCCTGAAGTCCATAGTGTGAAAGCAGCCACAGGAAAAATAAATGACTGGGCATGGTTGTGTAAACTGGCAGTGGGTGGAACTGGCCAACTGTGGCCAGTTCTGTATGCACTTCTCTAAGATCGACATGCCACCTCCCAGATAAATCCCCTAGATTTCTTATAAGAAATTTCAGTGACTTCAGGTTTGCATGCAGATTCCTCAGTATGAAATTGCCTTCACAACAGATCAGTACACCGGAAGCTTTCCCAACCGTTTTATTGTCCTTGTTCTTACTGCAGCTTCAGGAGATGTCCCTGCTGCTCCTGTTGATTCGGAAACACTAACACTAAACAGTGGAACACTACAAACATTTGAGATTCTTCCAGTGAGTAATACTTCATATAATAGATACTGGCCATTTTTATGCATGAGATGGGTTAGTATTATAATTTTTAAAAATCTTATCATATAAGCAGATGAAATTAAAAATTTCAGGCCAGACATAAATCCAACTTCCACTTTTATTATCCTTTTAATTCTGCTTTTTCCACCTCTGTATGTAAACCAGTCTGTTCATCCTGTGTGAATACAGCAGTGCCGACGGGCAGCCTGCATGAGTGGGTTTGTCCTGAGCCTGAGTCGGCATGGGGTATCAGAGAAGGCCGTGTACTGTCTGTCATGTGCTGCTCAGCAGGACTGACTCAGAAAACACTGTCCAGCCACTGAGGACACAGAACTGTAACGTCTCCACCCTGCTGGGCTAACCACTTTGGGAAAGTCTTATAATTCCTAAAAAAGCTTAAACAGACCTACCAAACAATCTACCATTTCTTATCCCGGGTATATCTAAGAGGAATGAGAAAACCTGTCCGCAGAAAGACACGTAGCAAAGGCTGAACATGGAACTTCGGCCTTTCTGGAGGTTGCAGTGTGGTCACACTCATGGGGCCGCGTCGCCGTGACGTGAAGGGCCTTGTCATCAACTGCAGCTGTCCCTGGGCTCCGCCACACAGCTTGGACAAGTCCAGGAGCACCTGTGTGCACTCCCATGTGCTGGGAATGGGGAGGACAGTAGTGCCTCAGCCTCACGCCTGCAACCTCAGCATACTGAGATACCCTAAGTGGAGCACACCCGTACCTCACAATGCATAAGAGGCATCCACAGAAAGGCCTTAGTGCATGTGATTAAGCATGCTGTGACCTTCAGGAAAATGACTAGCTTTCACTTTTATGGAAAGTGCAAAGAAATTTGAGTCCTGACCGAGTGATAGGCACTTTCATGATCATTGGTAATCCTGCAAGCCTTTCCATGCGAGGTGGTTATTATCCCCATGGAAGAAATAAGAAAATCTATGTTTGGGGATTCAGTATACAGGAGATTTCAAAGATGAAAGAAGAGTAAAAAATCAGGCTTAGAATGTGAACCCCCCCGGTCCTAACTTAAGTAGATATTCTCTCAGTTGCTGGTGTGAACCCAATTTGAATTCTATAAAAGCTTACAGTATGAAAAGTTTATTCATGAATAATTTTGTCATGCTTTAAAATCTCAGAAGATAAATATACGTAAACCAGCTTTTCAGATAAGCATCACATTCCTTCAGCAGAACAGTGCTAATTGCTAGTTTGATAAATTTTCCCTTAATACAAAAATATTTTCTGAAATTATACTATAAGAAAATGTGTTCAAGTGAGTAAACACTGCTGTTGTGCCTCTTCCAAAACAAAGCTCTTTTTTTAAACTGGGAGATGGCCAGTTCTTCTGGCTGTCGACAGGATTAAAGAGGGATCCTCAGGCTAGGCGGCTGCACTGTGGGGAGTAGTTCCTCATGTGTGGGGCACCCTGAAACAGGGCGCTGAGACCAGGCAGTGGGAGGCATGACTGCGAAGGGCAGGACAGGTGGTTCTCCTGTTCCACCTCCAGGCTGAGCATTCCCGAGACAGGCGAGCAGTGAGTAGTCCACCCTTCACTTCAGTGCTGTTTGTGCCCGAAGTCCAAGTGGGTCCATGTTCGGGGGCAGGGGTGACCTTAGCTGCCGTCCGTTATCTGCACTGAAGCCTCACTGTGTCCTGTTCCTCAGTCTTTCCATCTGCAGCCCACCGGCACGCCTGGCACCTACCTGCTTCAGACGAGCTCCAGCCAAGGGCTTCCTCTGACTCTGGCCGCCAGCCCCTCGGTAACCCTGACAGCCGCTGCTCCTGCCTCTCCCGAACAGATCATTGTTCATGCTTTATCCGTATGTTGCAGTTCCACTTGATTTCTGAGTACCAGTTGCAGACTAGGGTTAGCTGGACAAAATTCCAGCACCAAGACTGTCAGGCAGTTCTGGCATCTAAACAGTTCTTCTGCCACCATTGTCACCGTGGCATCACCTTTCTCCCTTCACTGGGGTGTATCTCTGAGCCCGGGAGGGACACACATTAGAGGAGGGAATTTAGGAGACAGGAGCCCAGTACTCATGAACAGGAGTTCTAGGAAAAACATGATGAAAACATTGTAGTTCCAGGAGAGGGAGAGGGGTGGGCATCACCTGCAGATGTCATCTGTTGAATGACTCTAGTAGTACGTCCTCGTTTTGCCAGATGGTTTTCTTTGATGCTTTACAGCCAGAACATCTGCTGAACACAAGTGACAGCGTCACGGTGCAGTGCCACACACCCAGAGTCATCATCCAGACCGTTGCTACAGAAGACCTCACTTCCTCCATGTCCCAGGCGGAGCTCACAGTGGACAGCGATATACAGTCCTCTGGTTTCCCTGATGCACTGGAAGCAGACACTTTCCCAGATGAGATTCATCAGCCTAGGATAACTCTAGCACCATCATACAATGATGCTCATGTGTCCAGATTCAGTGACCAAAATAGCACAGAACTGATGAACAGTGTTATGGTCAGAACGGAAGAGGAGATCTCGGACTCCGATCTTAAGCAAGAAGGGTCCCCCTCTGACCTGACCGGTGCTTATGTTGCTGAGGTAAGTTGTACCTTACAGAATCGCCAGGAGCTTCGAAGCCAGCTGCAGTCTGGAAGGGTCCTAGACATACTCTGGGGAGTTCTCCAGTTTCTTCCTTGCTTTAGATTCCCAGTACAGAGCCCCATCTGTGCTGGGCCAGTGTCCGTGACCCAGCAGTGGTGTTGCTGGCAGAAGGGAATGGCCAGGGATCTCTTGTGGCGGTCAGGGGAGTAAGAAAACTGTGGTCTTAGCACAGCTCCTCGCTCGACCTCTGCCCTCTCCCGCAGCACCGTGGAAGCCACTCCCGAGTGTGGGGTGCCAGGGGTCTTAGGCTTCCACGGGACCCAGTTCAGTCACTTCCTCTACTTACAGGTGACCTACACCTGGATTCATCTCTAAGTTATTTTTCTTCTCTTTTTAAATATTACTTAGGATATAGAGTCTCCCACCATAGTAGAACAAGTTGATCAAACAACCATTGATGATGACACAATACTTATCGTTCCTCCATCACATGGCTTTATCCAGGCGTCTGATGTTATAGATACCGAGTCTGTCTTGCCTTTGACAACACTAACAGGTACTGTAATACAGCTTGAATCATGTGACCGATAAATCTGACGGGGAAAATCAGGCAGTCCTTGAGTTCAGTTGTTTCAGTCTTTTCTTGCTCCAACAACAGACTCGTGAGTTAAATCTTAGCCTTTGGTAGACTATTTAAATGCTTGGGATGAGTCAGTGAACACGTCTGTGCTCTCACTACACCCTGAAGACTAACCTGAAACTCCGCTCTTCCAGATCCCATACTGCAGCACCATCAGGAAGAGTCGAACATCATTGGATCATCTTTGGGCAGTCCTGTTTCAGAAGACTCAAAGGATGTGGAGGACTTGGTGCACTGTCACTAGATGATTCTTAGAAACAGGCAGTTTGGCAAAGAAGTCGCACTGTTAATTACAGTATCTCCAAAGAAGCAGGGGCAGCCACCAGGAGGCTCACTCTACCATTCCTCTGGCTTCTCAAGAGCTGCCATGCTTAGCCGTGCACATTGTTGCTGCTACGACTTTTACCTCTTCTGCGTGTCCATCTGAGGTCCGGTGTACGAGACCTGTGTGGTTGAGTGGAGTGCGGATCCCATGTTTAGTGTTACCTGTCAGGAGGGAGCCTTCTGTCACCAAAGCTAAGCGCTTGTCTCCACAGATCAGACGTGGCACTCTCGGTCTTGAGCAGGCCTGGGTACATTTCAGGGACATCGTATCAGCACAGCCTGGAGCTTATCCATGACCTTCTTCAAAAAGATTAGGTAGGATTAGTTTGAGACTTACCCAGTGGACAGCAAGACCTGGGAGGTGATTATGTGGCAGTTACTTGTTAACCCATTGCTGGCCGTGGGAGCCAGTGAGGCAGGGCGAAGAGGAAGCCATTAAGTCTTGGAGCCTCACTGCAGGTCTTCATGACCTCCTGAGGGAATATGGGTGAGGGCAGTGACAGAACCTTCCAGCAGCTAAGCAGTCTTCACCCCCTACAGAGACCACTGTCTTTAGTTTACAGACTTAGCACTTTGAAAAAAAAGTAAACCGTGCTGGTTTCGGCGGCACATACACTGAAGGAAACCAGCCAAGTGGAAAAAGCAGTGATGTTGCCTGTCCCTGATACCACGACCCTCTATGACATGTTTGCCGTGTAAATGACCTAGAACACAGCTGAAGGGGGATTGAGTTTCCCGTTCACTCAGTGCATTAGTTGGTCGGGGTAAAATATAACTTCTCCCTCTCAGGCAGTTTTAAAGAACAAAATTTGCTTCTGTAACAAAAGGAAAGAAATCAAGAGTCATTCCTATTACTAGAGAAGGGTTAAGCCAAAAGCAGCCTCTTAGGGCTTTAATGAATATGGCCCCTATAGAAAAGTCACAAAAAAACCTTGTATAAATTATTTTATTTATTATTGTAATTAGATCTTCACAATCAAAGTTGTCTTTTCACCGTCTGTGTTTTGTTAATGTGAAATTGTAGTTATAAGCAAAAGTTGGTTGCCTAGGGAACAATAATTGTATATTCAGTTTAACAGAAATAAAAGAATATTTGTTTTAGAATGCAAGAGTTTAAGCCTTTGCCATGCAATTTGTAAAATATTTTTAATTTCAAAAGTGAAAATTACTTGTGCTGTTTGAGCTTTAAGGGTTGAAATGTTTTAGTGCAACATCAGCTCCTTAAAGAAAAAGCAAAGATCTATGATACATCTCCGTCCAAGAGGGAGTTCAGCTGTACAGTAAACATGAGCTCATGTGTCAGATTCTGGAAGACGGGTCCGCGCCCACCCGGCAGTCTCTCCTGCTGCCCTCGAGAGTTCTCACCAGCCCTGCGCAGGGTTCCTTCTCCACAGCCTCACCTCCCCACGTCATGGAAGTACAGGTTCGCACATATACACAGCATGATGATTGAAAATAAGATATAGTAAATTAGACTTCGAAATTTCGGTTCTAAGTCTCCTTGTCGATACCAGTAGATCTAAAAGAAGAATCAAATTAAATTTTAAGTAATAGTCCCTGGGCCAACTGTTAAAACGACTAATTCTTTTTGCATTAATTCTTCAGTATTTCTGCAGATGAGACAGTCATCATATCCATCCATCTTCATGCCTTCATTCAGTACAGCCAGAATTCTCATTTTTTATAATTCTTATGCTTGAGACTCCACACCCCAAGGTCATACTTACCCTACCACCTCAGTTTACTTTCCTCTACGTTCTAACTATTTGGCAAGCCATCTGGGAATATATCTCAGTGTATCGGGGTAAATGTGTAACTCTTCCAGGTTCTACATACAGTTCACAGAGGGAGGACACGTTTAAACTCTTTTCCTCAGTTCAGACTGGCAGTACAAGCTAGCTTGCATCATACCGTACATACTCAGATTCAAGTAGCTGAGTGTTGGTCACTCGGGTCTGGGGTAGGCTGTGACAGGCAGACTTCCCCAGAGTGGCGTGGGCCCTTTCAGGTTATGGGAGTGTAAAACAATCAGTTCAGTTTTAACCTGAATGAATACATCACTACTATGATTTAAGCCCCATGTGATTCAAAACAGTTGTTTTTAAGGGGTTGCGGTTTTGATTCTGCCTTTTGAAGGTGATAAAACAACCAGTTATTCAGTGACTAAACAGTCAGAAGCCACCACCATCTGTTTCTTTCCTGGCCTGGTAAAATGGGAAAGAAATTGGTAAAATTCTTGTGACCAGAGTACAACTGCCACTTTAAGTTTCCCAGGAAATTGTGGTAAGTTACCTCCACTTGGGGAGGTAAGCACATAAAGTAAAATATACAGGACTTGGTGCTATCTTTTCCCTTAAGAGCTTCTGTCAGGCTCTGGGCACATGCCCTGGAATGAATTTGATAAGCAAAGTATTTCCGTTTTGGCCCTTAAAGTCTTTTCACCCTTTCACTTTTTAGCTATCAAAGAAACAAAATTCTTCTTTAGACTTACAGCTTTTGGGAGTTAGGGGAAAAGAAGGAAACTGAAAAACCGTGTGCAGTTGGGGAACAGAGGGTGTGGGAGTCCCTTTACGTAGACCCAGGCTGGGACCCTCTGCCAGGGCACCGCCTCCTGAGGCCCTTGAGTGCACTGTCGGAATTCTAATAGTACTCACAAGTATGCAGGCTGTAGCACTGCTCAGAGAGATGCAGACAGCGAAAAATACATTCAGTGGTTTGGGAGGTAGGTGAGGGAAAACAAAAGCACTGATCAGCGTCACCTGTATGGAGAGAGAAGACGTCAGGCCCTAAGGAGCTGCAGGACAGGGCCAGCTTGAGCTAGGCAAGGCAATGCCACAGAATGCTTCATATTATAGAATCATATCAACCCCACGTGTGCGTTCGGTAACAGAGCGTTTGCAAATGTGTTTATTTCTACAATGCTTCCTTCTTTCCCAGCCTCTCCCTCACATGAAAGGAGACAAAACGTTAGCAGTCACATAAATGTCATTCCTAGGGTTGCTAACTACTGAAAGAGGGCTGACCATCCTACTCTTACCAAAAGCAAATGTAATCATAGTTGGCTTTGGTTATTAAGTTTATGAAAAAAACCGAAAGGGCCAGAGATGTAGCTCAGTGGCACCGCAGCTGCCCAGCAAGTGCAAGATCCTGAGTTTGATCCCCAGTACCAAAAAAAAAAAAATACTGAAAGATGGATTTGTAATACCCATCTCTGTTTCTACCACATGTAGCACCATGCCTGTTCTTTTTATTAAGAAGTAATGGAGGGCCAGGGATTTAGCTCAGTAGTTCCAGCACCTGCCTCACAAGTGCAAGGTCCTGAGTTCGACCTCTGGTACCCCCCAAAAAACCCAAAAAACAAGAAGTAATGGGGAAAAACCCCCACTAAAATTCATTCTCTTAACAAAATTAATGAAAATGTCCTCACCAGGCTGGGGAAAATATAGCTGTGTTTATATTGTGATAGCACTCAGCCATATTAAAAGTATGAAAAGTTACTATACACTGATCAAACCTCCTAAAAGGTGACCCCAAAAGGTAAAGTGTTAACAGAAAAGGAGAGTTACAGTAGGTTATCATAGAAGGGACTGATGGTAACCACTAACGTTTTTACAGATTTACTAGGGCAGGCAAACATGGCAACTTAGTTGCCTGACTTACACATATTCAACTGGGAAACTGGAGCGGGAATCAAAACAGCTGTTTCAGCTGCCAACTGCAGTGTTATAAGATCAAAACATTATGACTTTTTCTGAGCACTATAATAAAATTTCCAAAGCTGTAGTTAGGAGCTTAAGTGAGGTACAAAATTAAAGCTACTTACTAGAATCAATAAGCATGTGAAGCCGCCAACAACCAAATTGATGATTCGGTCCTGAAAGAGAAAGGAGTTTGTGATTGTGAGCTGTGCGGCTGGGACTCGGCACCTTGGGGTGACACAGTGCTGGGCACTGGATGGGGGAGAACAAAGGGAACAAGCCATGCTGCGCTCCTCTGAGCTCCCGCAGTGCAGACTCGGAGGGGTGCAGAGTCGGAAACAGGAGCAGGCTCTTAGACCACCAGGCCGATGAGGGAAGGTTTTCTGCAGGGACAGGTGATTCACCCTGCAGTGAGGAGGGCTGGTCAGAACCAGTACAGACTCGACACCAGCCTGGATGACAGAGTACTATGATGCATTTGGGCCTCCAGTAGAGATACAGTGTCCTTGTCTAATCTAAAAAAGGCACCTATGCAAAGGGACCACAACTGGCCGGGGAGCGACGCTCGTGAGGCTGAGATGGGCAGCCTGGGCTACGCAGCAGGGAGACCTTGTCCCACAAAGAAAGGACCTCAGGGTGCCAAGGCTGATGCGGTCTCTGAGACTGCCTAGCCAGCGATTTTCCAATTCACTCAACAGCAAGAGCCTTCAACTGGAAAGGTTTGATCGAGAGGCCTATTGTTCTACCTACTGTTCTTTTCATCCTGCACCCTAACCAATTCCCAGACTGTCTGCAAAGCTTCTGATCCAATCCTAATTTTACAGGCTAAGGTAAATGTAGGCCCAGTGTGGTTAAATCATTTGCCAAAACCCATAAAGCAAGTTAGAAGGAGCTCTAAACCAGGGATCTCTAAGGTTAATAATGGGTTAACAAAAGCTAGTTCCGAAACCGCGGAATAAGGTACGGTTTTTAAAGACTGGATTGGGAGCACATGGTTAAGGCCACTGAGGATACCATTTAGTCTCATTTCCATGAACTCAAAACAGTCCAGTGAACCAGCAGTCCTTACCGACTGTTTTGTTGGTGAAGGGCAGGACGTGGAATGTGAGCAGCCAGTAAACAGAACCTCAGGGTGGGAGGGTGGAGCAAGGGAACCCTCATTCCCAAATTATTTGCTTTTCACATAAGAACCCAAAGACCCTGAGTCCCACCAAGCGGGAAGAGTACAGAAAAACCAAGTCCTGGGGATGCTGATGAAACCAAGGAAATCCAACCCTCCAGACCACAGCCACTGGAACGCAAAGGTTAAGGACAAAGCAAACAACTCTTAACTACACCCACAGTACAAAAAGATCTTACCAGCACCACAGCACACAGCAATCTGAAATCAGAACCCTCTGTTAAAGACCCAAGGACAATTCAGCAATCCTTGTTACAATTTCCACTCGAGACAAATAAATGCAGACAGATGAGAATGTAACATAAAATGTGCATGTAAAGATAATATCCACAAGATTTCCCATTGCTTCTGCCTTGTGAAAAAGGCTCAACTACACTCTAATGCATTCTGAGATGGAAGAATTCCTGCTTGACCCTCAGCTCCGAGGACGTGCACAAGTTTACGAAGGTGCACACCGCACAGCAGCTCCGCCACAGCAGAACCAGTGAGAGGTTCGGGTGAGCTAGCCCAAAGGGCGCCACTGACTTCCAAACGACATGGCCAGCTGTCCAGCAGGATCAGAGCACCCAGAAAAGTAACAGTGAAACAACAGTAACTATGCCCACGCTTCCACATCCTCTTCTCAAACACGCTGAGATGGAATAGCAATGACTTTTACAGCTGGCAAAACGGCTCTGGGAGACTGAGAACTCGGCCAAGGTCTCATACACCAGAAAGTAATGAGAGAGAGCCAGCGTCTGGCCTGCTCACCTCCACAGAGAAAATCCCACTTGAACTCCTTTCAGGAAGAGCAATCCAGAAGCTACTGCTGGTATAGATGAAGATGACATCTCAAAAAGCCTATTTTAGAGCCTATTACGAATAAAGATTTACACACAGGTGGCTTTTTCCAAATTACTGACAACAGAAGCATAATCATTCTGATAAAAATACATAAGCTTTAAACTTGCCTGCCTGCCTTCTAGGTTAAGTTATTCTCTTTTTTTTGGTACCAGGGATCGAACTCAGGACCTTGTGCTTGCAAGGCAGGCGGTGGCACCACTAAGCTAAGTCCCCGGCCCTTTAGGTTAAGTTATTCTAATGCAGTGGGTTCCTCTAGGGCCCCACATTGAGACAAACTATTCCAGATATGGCAGAAGTGTTTCTCGGTAGTGTAAAGAGCTCACCTTGGGGTCGTCCAGTGTAGACATAACCATGACTCCAGATCACAGAGCAGTGAAGTGTGGGAGAGCGAAGGAAGACCTGCAGATCAGGGAAGGAGGAGAAGAGGGGTGGTTCGCAAAGAGGAGCCCCACAAAGACCCAGGGAAGAACGGAGTATTGCTGTTACCAAAGGGGTGGGCAAACGGAAACAGCTGGTGTGGGCACGTTCCAAGAGCTGAGAGGGAGGGCGCGGGCAAAGGGCACAAGGCAAGATCTCCCCGAGTCCAAAGGAATCTTATCGAGTCCAAAGGAATCTTATCGAGTCCAAAGGAATCTTATCGCTGTCTCCCTGAAATGAGGAAGGAGGGAAAGGTCACAGGCGCTCGTTTGTGCTAATATATGCTAATATGTGTGAATGGTTACCTGTGGCACAAATAAGAAATGTATCATCTCCATTTACTGCTGGGTAACTGGGTTCAGTGAAACCCACGGATTTGCCACAGCCATCCAGCCAGGGAATGGTAAAAGACTCCTATCCAACACTCGGTGCAAACGCAAGTGGCGTGAGCAGTTTGGAAGGTCTAAGAGCTCTCACACTGATACTATGGACCTTGAAATCAGTCAGGAGATCAAGGTTACCTCATTCTGCCACTGGCCAGCCATGTGACCTGGAACTGGTTCTTTAACCCAAATGAGTCTGTCAAATGAGAAGACTGGGCTAAATGACACCTAGTACTTTCCTGTTCTAACAATTTACAGGTCTGAATCACCAGCTTCAGTCTGCACTGGGGCTAGAAAAGAATTCCTCCTCTAATGCCTGAAAAGCAGGGAAGCCCCATCTTGCCGGGTCAGCCACTGGCCAGTATCCTGATACAAGACAGAGAACCCCGAACTCAGAAGCTCAGGCAGTAATGAGCGTGAGGAAACATGCAGTCGCATCCCAAATATCCAAAGCCAGCTCTCAAGGACAACCCAGCTCTATAGCATTTAGAATGCTAACAAATCGCTGTGTCTATGACAGTTTCCAAAATGGATTTGAAGGCCTTGTGCTAAATATAATAAACCTCGTCCACTTAAGCAACAATGAAAAGGTGAAATTTCTGAAGTTTTGGAGAATGTACAAAGAGAATTTACAAGGAGCCCAGCATGCTGGTGCACACCTGGAATCGTAGCTACTCGTGGGGCTAGGGCGGAAGGATCAAAGTTCAGGGACTATCTTGGCAATCTGCATGCAGCCTGTCTCATAATAAAAAATGAACAAAGCAAAAGGTATGGTGATATAGCTCAGAACCCCCTGGATTCAATCCCCAGTACCACCCTACACCCTACACACACACACACACACACACACACACACACACACACACACCCTCGAGGAATGTTCTGATTTAAACTGAATTTAGTACAGTAATCCTTCTGGTCTGGTTTTGTTTCAGTGGTTTCATTTACCTGTGGTCAACAGTGGCCCAAATTATTAGATGGGAAATCCCCCCATAAGCAATTCTTAAGTTTTAAATTGCACGCTATTCTGAGCAGCATGACAGAATCTCATGCTATGCAGCACTGTCCTGCCCAGTACATGGGCTCATCCCTTTGTCCAGCACACCCACGCTTAATTAACGTCCTCCCCAGCAGCCAGTCCCTCGGTAACCACACTGGTTATCAGACCGATTGTTGTGGTACTGCATTACTCCTGTTCAACTCTTAGTTTATTTAACAGTGGCCCCAAAGCCCAGCAGTGGTGATTCAGATGTGCAATTCAGATGTGCCAAAGAAAAGCCATAAAGTACTTTCTTTCAATAAAATGGAGAAAGTTCTCAAGAACAGACAACTGTGTGCCAAGGCTGCTAAATCTATAGTTAGAACAAATCTTCTATCTGGGAATTTGTAGAAAAGAATAGAAATTTGGGCTAGTCTCACTCCTGCACCTGAAACAGCAAGTTACAGCGAAATGCCTGGTAAGTGCCTAGACAAGCTGGAACTGCAGGACTCGCTACTATGTGTGACTCTAGACCTCTCCGGTACAAAGGGGGACATGGGGCTAAGATTCCTGAGAGCCCAGTGGGATACACGATGGGATTGTAAGTCTTCAGTAACAACAATAATCATGCTGGATCACTAGATGAGGGAACTTTCTCCTGGCTTTGAAAAGACTGTGTTGCACGAGTCTGTATAAATGGAAAATACAGTCATTTCTTATGTTGGCCCATAAGAGAAGCTGAAGATGTAAGGTCATAATTCCTGAGAGTGCTTTGGGAAGCGGGTGGGGGTGACTGTCACTCCTTCAGAGCTCAGCACAAGCATCGCCTCCAGCAGAAACCCTTTCTGGACCCCATTCAGGCACCTGCCCTCAAGGTGAGCTACTCCTGGGCCAGAGCCCTTAGAGGTCACCTCACCCAGACCTGACACTTGCCACACCACCTCGTATCCTCCACGAGGACCAGCAGCCCCCAGTGGGAAGAGTCTCATTTTCCTTCCTACACTAGGCTCTGTCGCACTCTAAGGATGTTGGTTACACAAAAGAATCCTGAAGCAGGCGGCCCAATTTTCCTTAGAGTGTCCCTCACTAGCACAGCCTGTCACCGCAGGGCATGGTCTTGCTGCTGTAGCACAGGCAGCAACGGCACTGCCGAAGCCACCACCTGGTCCTGTAACCCACGGGTCCTGCTCTGGCCAGGCGGAGACCCAGCATCGTCCAGCTGCCTCCCAGACAAGGCTGCTGCTTCGGAGGAGATACCAACCGTGAGCCACGGGAAGCCTGAGGGCCAGGTCTTCCTCCCCTGAGCTCAAGGCTGTCACTAGGGCAGCACCAGGCAGTGACTTCCAGGCACCGCAGCTCTGAGGTCCGGCAGAGGGACTGGTCCCTCAGCAGGGCCCCTCAGCACTCCCAGGAGGAGCAAAGCCCGGGCCAGACAAGGCATGAGCATGTCCTCTCCCACACAGAGGGAGACGGAGGGCTCCCCGTGGTGTGATTAAGCTTCCTGGAGGGGAGGCTGGGAGGTCGAGCGAGCAGGGCCAGCCTGAGAGCCACGTCCGCCATGGGCCCTGTGTTAGGTGTGTGTGCCCGCCCGGCAGCCTCGTGCCCGCGCCTCCCTCCCCAGGCACCTCAACTGCTTAGCGTCTGGGTGCCAGGTGCCCCTGCTTTCCTCCTGCCTCTCCGCCCCAACCTGCTCTGCACCACCCATCCATCTGGGACCCTAAAGCTCCTGACGAAGCCATCAGCGTCTCTGAGCACAGGCTCAGTGTCCTGGATGGGTGCAGAGCTAGGCCTTCACTTCTGTAGGGAATGGAGAAGCATGCCATCACCGACCGGCTCTGCTCTAGTGCACTCCCACCCGCCAACCACAGGTGAACCCAGCATGGAAACCGGAGCCCAGTGGAGAGCCAGAGCCACTGACAGCTGCCCGCAGAGCCAGCTGGCCCCACACCGGGGGCCCCACAGGCTGGCCCAGGGCACATTCAGTGCTCCACTTCCGTCTCCTGAACACCGCCGCTACTTCCCTCCCAAAGGGGACAGAAACAGAAAACTGAAGGCCCAAAGGGCTCCTGGCTGAGACCCTCGGGCACATCCTACAATTCTGCCTCCAAAGCTTTGCATTTCTCAAACTTACGGTTTCTGATTCCATAAGCTACAGGCTGGTTCTTACAAGTGGCTGCTTTTGTTCCTGCATGTCGGCAGGGAGCCTCCAGGCCCCAGAAGCTCTAGGCCTGGCCAGGTGAGGAGCTGAAGACAAGTCCTCTGCAGATACCCACACCAAGGGGACTCGAACCCTGTGAGGAACCCAGGCCCTGCCATGGGGTTAACGTGGTTCCTTCCCTCGCAAGGCCCTTCCTCAGAGGCAACCAGGGACAACAGCCAGAGCGTGGAAAGTGAGGTCCCTCGCCTCACCAGCTGGCACAGGGCACAGTGAGCTCTGCCATGGGAACGACAGCAGCTCGAGGCTCCCGAGAGACAGTACCCCGGGGACGGTGCGATGTTGGGAGCAATGCTACATAATTCTAGGGGAAAATCCTTTGAGTAGGCCTAGTTCTCCGGCTTACAGCCCAGCTAGGACATTCCAGACATAATTGCATTTTGGCCGCTGCTGGTCACAACTGAGACCTCAGTGATCCCCGGAGGCTGTAATCTCCAGGACAAGACCACACCTGCGGGAGACGCCAGGGAGGAACCAAATCTTCATCTGCATAGTTCCTGGGAGGAACCAAATCTTCATCTGCATAGTTCCTCATTGTTCTTAGATTTCCGCTGCCCCCAGTCTTTTTACACCTTGTTTATCCCAATGTGAAGTACTGAACTCTGCATTTCACTTGTTATATCTCTTTCCCCAAGTAGTGAATAAAAGGTGTGGTAAGCTGGGGGCTTTGTCTTTGCCGCCCAGAGCAGCACTGATCAGACCCAAAGCTCAGCTTCTTCTCAGTCTCATTTTTCTACCTTTCCTGTAATTCGCCGTGTGCTGCCGTGGCTTGCAGGAGACTAGGACTCACTGCAGAGGTTCTGGTAACGTCCCCTTCCCCTGTCCCCTACAGTGCGGGAGCAGGGCGCACCCCGAAGCCCCTCCACTGCAAGCACCCCTCTTCTCTGCCAGAGCCATCCGTCCTCCCGCACAGGCCCACATTCTGAAGCGTTTCTCTCTGGGTTGTGAGCGTGCATATCCTTCTCCCAGACTCATCTGACTACGCACAGACCTGAAATGCAGTGTGTGTGGAAGGCGGAGCACAGTGGCGAGGGGAGTCAGCCCATGCCCCAGGGCCCAAGCAAGCATGCTGACCCTGAGCAGTCGGAGCTGCATTTCTTTTTTGGTACTGGGGGTTGAACCCAAGACCTTGCGTTTGCCAGGCAAGCAGGTGGCACTAAGCTAAACCCCGCCCCCATAGTTTTAATTTCCAGACAGGGTCTTGGCAAGTTGCCCAGGTAGAACTCAGCCTCTGCAGGTGTGCGCCACCATGCCTGGCTTCACTCCATTTTCAGGCCTTGTTTCCATGTTTGTGCGGTGAACTGACATGCAGGGTTAGGGTCAGGGGTAAGAGATAAGACATACACGAAGCCCCTACAACGGGGCAGGGTTTTTACTGACTGGTACCCAGTAGCTAATAGGGAGT